ACCCCGACAGGACTACTACGATGTCGCGGCCCAGCAACAGCAACAACAGGCGATGGCGGCTGTAGCAGCTGCGGCAGCGGCAGCTTTGTATCCCAACACAGCGGCAGCGGACTTGTATGCGCTCGCTGCTGGCAGTGGTGCTACCCGCGCTGCAGGGTCGTTAAATCGTCGCGGACAAAGAGGCAGCTCACCTAACGAATTCAACCCACGTCCTTACCATAATGATACACGTCGGAGACAAAATCCTTCTTACAACACTAACCCAAGGTACGTCTGTTTCTATGGTCCCTTCTCATCGGCATTAGCTTGGGGTTCCGAAAGCGGTGTTAGGTCCATAAACTAACCGTTTGTAGTTCTTGAGGGCGATCGATGGCCAATCAGATTGTGCTCTATAACTGATTTGAAGTGGTGTTATTTTGGTGTTCAAGCTGTATGCTGAGTTTGTCAGTTTTTTTTACAAACGATCGACGTGACGTCATCACGTTGTGTACCGGGGCAGTGGTGTGCCGGTGCATGTTGAGTAGTAGTTGTGTCGACAAAATGTTAATCTATCTACCTGACTGACTGTAGTCCACTTATTTCACCTGGGATATATAATCAGCCGCCGCGGATACAACACGTGTAGTGTCTACCTCAACATCTGCATCAGTTTTCAGATGGATGCCACCACCAGAAAGGTGGTCGTTTCACCCGAAAAACCCTAATAGTTCCGATAACTGTTCACAACTGATTGCTCTGAGCGAAAAGTCGGACGATTAAGGGTCCGATTCGGCTAACGTAAGTGATGCTCACCAGTCGCTCAGGCAAACGTGAGTCAGTTAAGCGCACGGAAGCAAAATTCAGCGATCGCACTCCCTGCACAAGCCTGGAACAATCAGGCTTGAAAATCTTTCGGGTCTAGGGTCACCATAGGTGCCACAGGTTGCACGCGATCCAACAGATAAATCTCAGAGCCGGTGTCAAAAGTGTACACAGGACATGTTGGACATGGCCAACATAACATGCAGGCTAGTTTTTGGCAAACCGCGTGTATGTTGATACAAGTCGTTCGTTCCTCGGTTAGGGCCATCTCATTTGCCCGAGCAGTTTAATTTAATGCATATGCTGCATTTTCACTATGAACCTGCAAATTAAATCTAACTCCTTCCAAAGATAAGTTACCGTACGCTACATGAAAAACTCGGGATTTACAAAATTCAGCCGATCGTTCCTGATGAAAAACTTTTACGGTAGAGAGATTCCTTTTTTTAGATCAGTTCAGTATACATACGAGATGTGGATATTTTTTCATTCCGGTACTGTTCATTTTAGACGACCATTCCGCGCAACGGAGCGTAATATGGTTTCGTACAACGACCTTGATGACCCAAATAATGAGGGAATGTGAGAGCCGTTATTCACCGAGTAATCCAACTGTTGTCGTAATTTGTATAGTTTCTGTCTTGCTGCATTTCTCAACTCGTATCATAAATAAATGATATCTTCCAGTGTTCGTCATTCTCGTTGCTTTATCGGCCCGCTTTTGGGGTGTCTGGGTCACTACAAATGCAGAAGACACCCACAGGTAGGAGTGCGTTCTTTGTTGTCCTGATAGCGTGATTAACGCCCACCCGATATATAGGATATGACTGCACTCCGATTTAGCTCGAACCATGTAATGTGCGCTCACACGTTACCGGAAGATCTTACCATCTTCATTTGTCCAAAATCATTTAAGGAATTTGCAGTACCATTTGGAAGCATTGTGATCATTTTCCGTCCGCTAGGGTGAACCTGAGGCGCACGGGACGGGTGCTTTTTGGTAAAGTACTACATTTTCAGTCACCCAGGTCGAGTGACACATCATCTCGTGGGTAGCCCGTTCCAATAATTTGATCCACGAAATGTGAACTAGTGAATCAGGTGGTAGAGAAACGCAAGGGCCGGTCCGTCCTCTGCTGGCGAGTCTATATATCCCACCGACCCTCAAACGTTTGCTGAGAAGTGATTAAAACGCCAAGTATTTGCTCCCATTCCTCACCTGCAAAACCTGGAGTCGCGTCTGCATATCATGTTTGAACTGATTCAGAGTTCAGTAAGACGGCCAAGTATATCCATTATACATCAATTATTTGCAAGGACGAACTATCGTGTGGGTTTCAGGTACGTGTGTGAAGTTCCAGCTACCGCGGCAACGGCATCACTTGATCTGGTTGTCGAAAATTTGTATGAAGTCTTCAATTACGACTATTTGATTTTCGTTTCCATTATATCCGCATTTATATTCCTGGAACCTTTTATCTGCATGTGACATTCTGAACAGCGGGAAGTTGATCCACCTTGCAATCTGATTAGCGCTTTGTCCAAAATCTAGAATGATCGTTTTCTAGCTGGTGTTTTCGTAGTTGGTTTGCGTTCCGGATAATGAATATGTTGATGTGACTATGCGACGCTTTAATATCTTGCTCCGGTTAAATACACAGACGCACATGTGATTAGATAACCTCAAAGATGTTTGTGTACGTGCCCTGAAAGATTAGGGGCAAACTGGATCGTACTGATAGAGAACATTCGTAGCTCAGTGAACGAACCTGCGACGAATAAGAGCGCCACTAGACAATATGACGGGGTTTTGCTCGTGAAACTGGATGGGTGCGAGTGGCGTTATACGAAGGCTGCATGGTCAGGCGGTGTCGTTATTCCGGTCGAATTCATTATCAGAACAGAAAACAAGGATGTTGGCGAAATACACTCATTTGCACGCCGAATCGGTTTCGACTAGAGACTCAGCTGGAACCCAGCTAAATCTCCTATTCATGAATGTTCTGCACTAGGTCGTTTCATGTTTCAGTTGCTACGATATTCGAGACGTCGCGGTACATGTGTGGACGTAATACACTACTCATAAGGTTCTTTCAAAATATAAACAGATTCGGCTGGTTTCCAGGTGAGCCTCCCGTCAAAACCAAATTATTATGCAAATGAGTGTATTTCGTGCACTTTGGGTTGAAGTAGAGCAAAAGTGCTAGGAGGAATTCCACACGGATCCCGCTTTACCGCACGTCTTTAAGCGCTGCTACGGCCGATGAGCCTAACCCGAACGAGATTGGCCAAGAATTCGGGACGCTTGCCGGTCCGGCATCAAGACAAGATCTGATTGGTCACAAGTCTGGGCCCAACAGCCAATCATGACCCACTATTGGCCAAATGCCGGTTGCCAATGGCGCATCTAGAACGCGTCATAACTCCCAGAAGGTTATAACCGCTTACGCTATGTATACGAAGCGCTGTACAACTGTTCCTGACTTCGTTTTAGGCATTTATAGACCTTGTGCACCTTTGGTGGTTGTTCTGACGTGAACGCTAGCTTGGGAGGCTGAAACCGAGAACTAAGCTGAGGAAAATACCGTCACTACAAAAAGATTGAAGAAACCTTGGGGACCACGCCTACTTGATTAGCCCCAAGAAGGGCGAAACGGATCGTGGGCTTTCGGAGAGTTTTCAGCAACTCTATGGATGTATTGGAAATCCTATTTGTAGGATTTGTATGGGGGAACAATCATAGCCACATACAGTGGGATGCTGTCATTTTTCCGGTGAGTGATAGAGTTGCATTGGCGAAGTTCATGCTTCCCACCATTTGGACACCGATTTTATCTGAAACAGCCACTTGTAGAACCGGCAGGGAAGTACAGAATAAATTACTAGCTCTTGTTGACAACGCCTTTCCGGAAATCAGAAATAAGGTATGGTAGCGGAGATCGCCTCACTCTGGGGTACCTCGTGCTCGATTATATGCACAAGAAATGGCGCCTAACGGATGTCGGTGCCGTTAGTGGATGCAATCAAGAATTCCAGTTCCAGCGAAGTACCTGGATATCATCTTCAAACCCTACAGTTGTTTTCCAGAAACAAACCGTCCAAAGACGGCGTTTTAGGGGCTAATAATTTAGATGGCAACACTCACTGTTTGGGGGACATGACTATGAAAGCAAATAGATGGGTACCCTATTTCCGTCCGATTACCCCGGATCATGTCACAGCACACAGCAGTAGCTGGTTAGAGAAACTACATTCGCTCATTCCATCAGCTAACACCCAGTGATCGCGACCCTAGTTTACTGAATTAGGTGGCCGAAAACCGTGCTCCGATCAGAACGAAAGCTGAATAGCCTAGGTCATATATTCCCATCAAAATCAATACAAACATGTACATCAAAGAAATAAAAAAAGGTAACATCCCTAGTGTAGAAGCTGCCAAGATAAACGGCCAAGACGGGCAGGGTCGAACCTGAGGTTCAAAAATGCCTAGACTGTAAGGAAGAAAACGTAACAAAAAAAATTTCAGCCTTCACAATAGGAAACATTCCGTTGATAGTGGGTTTCAAAAACACGTTCAAGCTCCTGTTTGAGAAAGATAAAAAGGAAATTGTCGGTAAGTCACTGTGCGTATTAGCATACGGGTAAAAAGAGTTGAAGAACGTACACACATTTCGCAAATATCCCGTCTAGTTACAGAACGAAAGTCAAACCCAGAAAACACTTGAAGAAAAACTTCTTACGAAAAATGGGTCTTCCCAAGGAAGGAGGACTATTCAGTCAAATCTCTCCGTCTTTGTCAGGGCTCGAAAAAAGCCACAGTTCATCCCCGCTGTCTAGTGAGGTTTCAAGTTCTTTTCACTCTAGGCATTCCACATTGTCCCGTTCAATCGATCATTCTATTGTTGAGCTTAAGTTTTTCGTTGCACTTGCCTTTTATGTTTCCGGTTGTATCAAAATCGCAATAGAGGGATAGAGAATATAAAATTGATTTCAACTTTAAGCAAAATCTGAACGTAGGTTGTGGATTGCTATTATTGTGGTCAGTGCCCTTATGTACGATTACAGTATACTATTTTCTCTAACTCTAATTTTGTTCCATCTCTAGCGATTCACATGGATATTTCTAGTTCCGTAAGCTAGATTCCTGAGGCTTACTCCTCTGTCTAAGTGTGAGTTCAAATAAACTTCGTTTCGTTTTCCCCATAATCCGTGAAGACCTGACGAAAAATCGTCGAAACTATTTGGTGATCTCGGATATGTTTTCGCGACGTTATCGAGAACATTAAATGAAAAGTGGAAAAACGGAGATCTGACCTTCACCGGCGCGGTATGCATGAATCTGCCCTAGATAGGGCAGATGCAAAGGTTTTTATCAAACATTCGCATTAACGTACCTGTGATCAAGCGGAAACGTTTACGAGGCCCGTGAATGAAAATCCCCTTCGACAGGGATTGATCTCAGAATTAGTAGCCTTCTCATATATCTCCCTGAGTTGATGCAGCCACTGCGTATGTTCCTGCTAACCGAATTCATAGCGTGGCGAACTCCACAACGAATAGTTAGTCTTTGTTATGGACTATCAGAAAGTGACCACCCATGTGCTATTTTTGCATGAGATTATCGTCACAAAAAACAAAACATATTATCCGTTGCTCAAACCACCTGAATTATTTCATTTGAGAATATTCAGAACCATTAAATTCCAAAACATTTTACAGTGGTAGGTTTGCACATCCCCGTGTATCCCCAAAGTGTGGTGTGGGGATAATCATGTGTGTAGTCTGTTTTAGTTAATTTCTCATTCCCGCAAAAAATGGTTCATTGACCGACAAACCAAAAATGAGTCAACACTTACAGTGAGTATCCCAGTTCGGTGCGAACCACAGAGTACCAAATAGGAAAATTCTCTGTGCAACTTTATCAATTCCTCGGCCGACCAGCCGAGGGTACCGTTGACTACGGTTTGAAGGAATGCATTCAAATCATCCGGATGTGGGCCTGAATCAGGTTTATCCAATGTCAGCTCCGTGACGGATATGTCTGGCGAGCGGGTCCGGTTTGGTGAGCTCGACGCGACCGGACCGTTACTCTGACTCGTCCCAGTGGGAAGATCACCAGGCTCGGTCGATTCAACGACTGTTTTCGAGGTTCCTGGAGTAGTAAGCCAAGTGGAACTGTCAGAGTGGTCAAACCGAAGTATGCAATTAACCCAAGAACACGAGTGAAAGTAGAACGTCATCAATCATGAACTAGGAAACCCCATTTCAATTTGAATGACCCGGCTATAAATCGAAGCACAACAGCAAACTGGCTTCAGCTGTCCAGAACTCGTTTGACTGACCATCAGTAGACTAGACACTAAACTCGGAATTCTTCGCCTGTCGGAGGAGTGACCTATCAGTAGAGTTACTGAGGGTAATGTCCACGTTGTATTTACGCGCGTGAAAAACAGGCTTTTGCTCCACCAATGAACCGCCTATACCAGTGCAAGTCCGGGCGTAAATTTCAACATGGAGCAGTGGCTGCTCGCAGCAAGTGTAATGTAGTTGCCATCACAGTGCCATGCTCTTATCTTTTATGAACAAAAAACTAATGCAGCATGACATCTGTGATTCAAGTGTCGGGCCAGACATAACGGTTCACAGATGGCACATGCCGATCGGCAACTGAATTCCGGTGTGAGTGTCCAACTAAATAAAAGGTAGATTGTACATGCTGGTGACTGGAAATGTGTATTGCCGAATGGATTAAGCGAATCGTATGTTTCGATATACCACATCCTTTCCATATCTGCTTGGGTTTATCGATGAACACTGCATTTTCATGGAACATACGTACTGTTGAATTGCGTGACGCAAAAACCACCAAATCTTGACAATAGCTGCGGCAGAACTCCATACCAAGGACTGTTGAAACTGGGAACGAAACTCATAAGGCGTTTGATGTGCCTTAAAAATATGCGCTTTTAGAAGGCACTCTACTATCTATTGTTCGGTAATCTCCAACAAGTTCGGTCACAGTACCCGACAAGTGAAGTATGATCACGAAACTTACCAGTCATAAGTGAGTGCACGTCTGGAGTAGGGGAAGAAAGCTCCCTGGAAACCCGAGGTGACGGTGTGCGCTGAAAATGAACAGTGCAAGGCAATGTCTGTTTCCCTCTGACGTAAAAGTACAAGAGAAGGTGAAAACAGACAACTATTGGCCGGGGTGCACAAAAACGTCTCACCGAACCATGATTCCTGAGGAAGAAACTTGCCGGCATCGTTCGAATAACACTGGTCCGAAAATTCGGATGGCGCGTTTGAGATACTGAAGTGAATAGCAATTTGAACTCTCCCAGATGTGTTGTTTGTTGTTAGAGTGGTAGTCGTTCGCAAAGACCACTTAGCGTATTGTTTGGGTGCTGTAATGGATTGGAACTGTGAATGTGATTCAGTCTCGATGGCGACTACCTACCTAAAACATCCTTTTTCGTACTTTGTGCATGTCGAGATAGCTTAGTGGTTATAGCGCGGACGTACTGACCGGAATACCGCGGTCCGAACCCAACCCCGGCATTTTGATTGCTCCTATCAGGTTTAGGCAACCTGACAGTATCTCAGCCCTCACGTTTTCTTCGAGTGACGGTGATCGAAATCCCTACTCTATAAGAACGATCACAGGATGACTACAAAGAAGGCAAGCAAGACATCTCGGTGATTTTTTACCTGTTTCATTAGCACTTAACTGAATCTAAGAAACTTGACCTGACGCCAATCGGTGATAAAAATAGGAGCCGTCATGAGTAAATCACAGTTGGCGTCGGTTTTGTTGGGTTTATTTATATGACCGTGCTAAGGCTGTATTGCCAGCTGAAAGACTGGACAACAGGGGCCGATTAATGCTCCATTTGATTGTAAGCCCGTTCCGAGGCCTATACAGAGACATGGAATGGTTTGAGGCGCGCGATAATTCATCGGCAGCCACTATACATCCTCCGTTTGTACAGGTGTCCCACCACTCGTATACGAGTATGCGATGTTTTATGACACACGACTATCAGAAATTTAGCAATGAAATACACCGGATGGCGGTAGTCGCTCACTGTTCAAAAATGGACTGACGTAGACAGTAGTTATCAAACTAAAGATGCCTATACGGTGCACCTTTTCTTTCAGCAGTGTCGTTGGGGCACTTAAACTTTTGCTTATTTCGAGATACTGCTTACTGGAACCTTAGTCCCAGAACGAAGCCGTAATCTAACAAGTGCATGAAAACCGTTCTCCAACCATAGGTTTTACGGACGGAGAATCTAACAGTGTTAATATTCTGGAGAATTTAGTGAACGATCACTTAAGTTTTTCGGGTTTGTCTTCTCTGAATCTAGAACTGTCTAGTCACTCCTATGAGAACACCAGTCTCTACTCCATCTTCTGTTTCAAACTGTGCGCCATTCATAACCATAGTTATTGACGCATACTATGTTCAGCTTCGATAGGACATACATTTGATACACTTGGCGAAGACACACAGTGCCATACAAGCGCCTACAGAGAAATTGTTCTGCTGGCCTTTCGTGGATCAAGAGATGTGAGCTGCGGTCGACCGTAGAAACTTGTTTTAGATGGGTAGCACTGTACCTTACAAGCGAAGTAAAACTGCCTGCCAGAGGCAACGTAGATGTTTCGTTCAAACTTAAGCGTTGTGAAGTACGGCTTGTTTTCTGCTCCGTTAGAATGGAGAATCAGTGCGTTTTTTATACTGAATAAGTACCATAGTTACCATAGAAGACGTTCGTCAAGGAAGATCAGTTTGGGAACTGAATTAGGAGTATGCCAAAGCAAAAATGCGTCACCAATAAAAAAGCTTAGGAATCACTACAACTCTCCCACTCACCACCCCTGAACGTTGGTAATTCTCGGAGTTCGCCTCATCGATGCCCAGCTTTTCCCGAATTACCTTCGATTCTGGACTGGGAAACGACGCTCCCTGACAGACTGCAACAACTGTATATCACTCAGTTCGAGAATCGGTGGTTGGCCCTAGAAAGATTGTTTAAAAATGATCACGATATCACCAAGACGAGTAATATATGCATCATCTTTCGTCTAGTAGTGATATAAGGAAATTCAAGCTCCTAGGAAACTTAGGGGTGAAGTGTGCTTACAATACAGTGAGGAACTATGCGTCCGGGTAGTTCGATTTCTCGTTGTTTCCCGGACCACCTGAGTGCTTCAACAACTTAGGTCAAAGCAGCAGTAAGCGTCCAAAATCATGGCTCATTATCTGCACGGAAAACCGCTCAGAACCAAAGACAGCGAATACTATATATATATATATATATAACGATAGATATACCTGGTTGGTTAAGGCGAGAACTTACTGACAAAAGGGTCCGTGGTTCGAACCCAACCTGAGCTCGTAACTAGGCTTTGGCAATCTAGCAATATCTCAATCCTCGTGCTTTCTTCGGGTGACATGGCAGCTAGGCACCGGAAGGGGGGTTACAACTTGACGATTATTATTACTATTACAAGTATGCATACAATGCAAGGGGACTGGGACCGACGAACTTACATGCAGCCTCCGACTAAACCTTCCACCCTGAGGCATGGGTAGCGGTTTGGTGAGCGGAATAGAAGGATTACTGGAGACTGAGGATCTACCAACAGTGGAAGAGGTGACTGATATCTTTGGAGTGGCAGTGCGTGGGTTCGACTCAGCAGGTCCGTGCTTTGAAGCTGCTGCCCTCATAGCTTGGGCTTCGGTGGCCTGGTGTAAATTCAAGGATAGATAACATTATAAATCAATCATGATACCGAGCTAGCTGAAACTGAACGACTCGAAGTAAAAGTAGGCGGTAAGTACTAATAAACAACTCACTGCTCGACAGCGCTCGTTTAAATCTGGTGGATATAGTTCCTCTTCCATCTTCAAACAAGCCTCATCCCAGAACTCCGCAGCCCGGGCGCGAATGTCGCGGCTACGCGGAACATTTGCTGGATTGTATTCCAAGGCATTATGGTAGATCAACTCGATATCCTGATGCGGCGAAACAATAAACAAAACGGATGCGGAAAGATGGGGATCGAGGGAAGTTATGGGAGTTAAATAGATCACCACTTGACCACACGCGGTACTAGTGTTACACGCATGCAAAACCACGAAAAGTTAGCTTATCACGCTAAGTTGTTCAGCCTCATCCCGAAACACCTAAACAGGAATAGGACAGGTGGAAACAACCCAACCACCTGTAACACAAGCACCAACTTTACTCAGCAGGAGAAATCACAGATCCACAAGTCTTTAATTATAGCAGATAGCCATTGCAGTATGATTATGGAACTACAGTAGGCTTGGTGCACTCTGCTTACACAGAATAGCCAACTGATAGAACAGTTCGCAGGATATCCCATTCTCTGCTCACCACAGTAGCCAAAAAACTGCTACCAAAGAGTTCAACTGGTTACCGTGGACGGCATTTAGAGAGGGATCAGAGTGCATCAGCAATCGAGCGCTTTGTAACAGGCATGAACGGTGTTTCAGGTGAGGAGAATCGCAACAAAATTTATGAGGAGGTTGGTATATCATTTTTCCGTCAAGTGGATATTACGCCATTGACAATAGTCATGTGGGCAGATTAATCAAGAATCGTAAGGGAAGGTCAGTGTTGAAAACAAGTGATGCAGAGGTCACCGACTGCGGTCTGTGACAGGAATTTCGAGTGAGTGTACGAACCACCTAGCGCGAACAAACGAGTAACAATCCCTAAGATAGTTGCACAACTGTGCCGCGCCACACGGATGAAGACTATACTGAGCAGTACCTTTGTATCGAGAAAGAACTGCTCAGTAAACATGTAGGATTTGAACGACGTTAAAGAAAAGGTTACACTAGCTTTTGCATTCAGGGTTCTACAAACCCACCATTAGAAACGCTAGTTTGAGTGAACTGTTCAGGTGTTTCGGTTCCTAACGCCTCATCACAAGAGATGGTGGCATGATGCTACTCATCTTCGGTGACGACATGGTAAAACACCCATCTAATAGGATTGCTCACTTATGGAAGTCAAAAATTAGAAACTTACTGATCTACAATGGCCCGCCCTACCCTCAGAGGTAATTCTAATTTTTCGCTAAAAACCATTCACTTACATAAATGAAGACAAAACATCCAGCCAACTGTTGCTTAGAATGCAAACAATTACCTTCATGAAATCTTCCACATTCACATATTTCCGCGCGTCAATCCGATCACGTACAGAACCCAAGTCCATTGGATTCCTAATGACCTCGTAATAATCCGGTGCTTCATCTGTTTGCACTGGGCGGCTGAACACAGCGAATCTTCTATGCCTGGCCAAATGAGCGACGACGCGCCGAAGCACTTGCCTAAGACGTCGAAACAGTTGGGCCTCTTCGCGCTCCAGTGCCAAAAGTTCTTCTGGTCTTAGTACAGGAGCAATGCGCTTATTTGATGCGTCATCTGGTTCAACAGAAACTGGTACCGGACTGGGCCTGGTAAATTAAGTAGAAATTTGCAAAATTCGGAAAACTCTGATAAGCTCAGGCCGAAGGAAAACAGACCTTATCGGTAAACAGTGATACTTATAAGTGAAAAGACCACGGATACGCAGAACGATGGTCAGCCGCAAGTTTTCACAGATCGACGATTCTTGAAGCATTGCGTTCCAATTATATTTATCACATAAACTCCTTACAACGGGACGAAGTCACTCTCAGTTATCATAGCACTCTTCCAATTAACACACTGTGTAACATCTAAATCCTGCGCCGACAGCATAATCAGTTCGTTCGCGTAAACGAGATTGAAGAACCCACAACAGACAAACGGCTCCTATTGGCTAATGAAGAGAAGAAACGCAGGAAGCTCAAGCAACCCGGGTCTCATTCCATCGGACTTGTTTTGATGTCATACAGGAAATAAGACAAAACAATAACATAGGTCAGCAAGGCTCTGTGTATTCAATCGAAAGAGGTGGAGATGAAGCAAAGGTAACAGAAGTGAACTTAAAACGTGTGACACGCTTCCGTTTTCCAAATAGCGCGAAAACGATTGTTCCTCTCGAGTCTACGATATCAGCATTTGTCTGAATATGAAACATATTTAGCATCACCCATGTGCTCAGACGACGATCGGAAAAATACTTATTGACAGGTGTCCTTACAATTACCGTTATCCTTTGAGCTAGTCCTCATTCAAAATTTTTCTAATAAAAAGCCGGTCACTGAGAAATACACACTCCCGTCATAAACCCGACCAGGATCCTGACCCAGGGTTGGGAAATTTTCAAGTCTACTGTCAGGCTCAATGACTAACTATAGTAAGCAATCTGACTAACCACAGGCAGCAATCGGAATTTGATGCTGCAAGTGTACTGAAAGGCGGTGAAGCGCCATAGAGTTATTTCAACCTTGTTGAGAGGTTCATCGACGGTGCACAACTCCTCAAGAGTTCTTCGGAATATATCGACTTTTCTTGCAGGATGACAGCCTTAGTGAGAATAAGATATCCTTAGCACCTAGAGACCATAAGTAATCCGTTCAAAAAATAGAGCCTACAAATACTACGGGCCTCCCATCTGGGAAGTTGTCTTCCGAGGGGCTATTCACGTGACTTGAAATACATGTCATCATGTGAGCGAGCAAACTCTGGAGTCCCGAATCGCGGAAGACCTAGGGTAGAGGATTTTTAGTGCACCAGGAAATCAGTTACAAATCAACATCACCAGCTACAAAATAGACATAACAACTTCCACAAACTTATAAGGTGAAGGAAAAAAGAATGCAGATTACACCAACTCGTTCAAAATGGCTGCTTACGAAAAGTGACCTAAATCATCAACCCACGTCGTTTACACCTGGCCCAAACGTATACCATAAGAATTTGTTTTTCTAGTCACACTGAATGCATAAGAACAAAGCACTGGTCAAGATCGGACAACATATAGTCAAATGAAAATAGCACCATACTGGTTAAGAGACTGAACCTGTCAGTCAGAAGATACGTGAATGCAAACACGGTTGACTTACGGACGACCTGCGCCAGAGTTATACGCATCCGACTGGATTATGAGGCTGCCATCAGCTCGTGCAAGACGACGGGGCATTACCATCAAAACAGGAGTGAAAAATGTGATTTTCGCTGCCTTGCTCGGTTGAGGTACTCTGATTCGGACTGAGTTGAATTGGTGAAACAGTCGCGTCAAAAGTCTGTAATAGTAGCGTCGTTTGTGACTACGTGGAACATTCGACGCAGGTCGCTCGCCCAAATTAGCTGGACTTCTGAGGGTGTTGCTGCCGAACTTTGAATCACCAACAGCATTTTTGCGAAGCACAGGCACGTTCTCAGCGCCATTAGAGTTATCTATGTCTGATACTGAGGCACTGGAACACGACGAGCTATCGTTAAAAACTATTGGATCCTCCATCGGTGAAACTGAGATGGTTGGTGAAGGTCTAGTTGAGAGCAGGGATTTATCCCTCATCGGACTGACTTGATTCAACTTTCGTCCTCCTGGGGATTTACGCACCAACCCAACACCGTTGCACATTTTGTTCACATCAACTACAAAGAAACACAAAAATGATATTTATCGAATGGGTCAGGAGATTAGGATGACCACAGATATGGTAAAAAACTACCCTTTGCATTTCTTTCTGACGAATTGTTAAAAATACAGAACCATAAAATTATTACGGGCCCAATGCGATAATGGCTAGCTGTTGCGAAGAGGATGGTGTTTTGAAAGGTGAAAAACATAGACAGCACATTTTCATAAACGAGACCACTCCCAAGGATCCTGGAAACTCTACAACAGTCCACGACCAGTTTCGCCCTTCTTGAAGCCCATCAGCTAGGCGCAGTCCCCGAGTCTCCACCAAACTTATGTTCTACTTGAACAGATACACTCATCTGCAAATCAATTTGGTCTTGACGGGGGACTCAACTGAATCGTGAACGTGATGCATAAAAGTCACTTCATGTTACAGTTGGCAAGCTATTCAAGATATCGCAGTATATTTTCATTAAGGGGACTATTCGCACGGTTACTGAAAACTCTTAGACAACCCACGATCGATTTCGCCTATCTTGGGGTTCGTCAGGTAGTTTCCGAGTTTCCATCAACCTTTGGTTCTACTTGAGCAGTGTGTAACCTCCTGTATAAAAATATACTGCGATTGTACTAAGTGAAATATGAGGCGGCCTTGTGCAGCACGTTCAGTTGAAGAATATCATAAACGAGAGATTCAGCTGAGTCTCCCGTCAAAACCAAATTGATTTGCAGATAAGTGTATTTGCTAATAGCCAGCAAATATTTAAACCTCAGCATCATGACGTATCCTGATTCCTGAAGAAGGTCAGCATCCACCTAAAGAAAAATGCCCGTGATCCCGTAAAAGGGGATCACGTGTAGAAGCTTAAGCATGGCATAGTACGCGCCCATCCACCAAGGGATCATTTCCGGGGGTAGGCCTCATTAAGCCTATCAGTCTTCATGGATCGCCTGCGCTCCAGTTCGACTCTCACCACATCTAAAAGAACCCGAGCGAATCTATGATCACTTCTGTCTTCGTAAACAGTAGCATGCTGATTGCGAAAATCTGTTGATCTGAACTGCGTTAGAGATGTACGACGCTCAAGGATTCGGGTTTTTTTTACTTGACCACCAGACTATGCCGCAAACAAACACGGAAATTCATTGAAAAGCGTGAGCTATAATGAAAGGTGTGAGCACAGTTATACCAGATTATTAGACAATGCGAATGAACTTCCGGATTGAATCACGGATACATAGCGCAACTCGAGGTATGAAATTCCATACCAACTGATGAGATGTATGCAAAAAAGCTACATTTTAGTGACGAACGACAAGAGGTGTCGAGTGCCCTGAAATATGTTGATTTTCGCTCTCATCTGAGACCGATCTGGGTGTTACGCACCCTTCCAGCGCGCAACATGATGTTCTGCGAATACTGCTCACATCAAATTAAAATTCACCATAGAAGTGAAGAAAAAACCAGTGGCCTTATAAGCGTTCGGCACACTACATCAACATATCCGCATTGAGATTTATCCTATTGAGAACAATATTGCATACTTTCAATGCTAAGGTAATGGAGTTTTAGTAATACCTGGAAGTTTTGAACATCTTTCTGTGGACAGTTTGGAACAAACCAACTATCCATTTATTCCAAAAAAACAATTTGTGCTATGCGAGTTTCACCGATATCATCTTTCACCCTACAATCAGAACTAATACAACTTCTACGATAGGTTAAACGATCCACAACTTCCAGTGCCTCCCCTGGATCGTAAGTGGCGTGTTCAGTGACTGCATGTCCACGAGAATGACCTTACATTTTGTGGGTGCAAAGTGCATACAGAAGGACGAGATGACTTTAGTCAGCACCAGGGTTTTGAAGGACTTGTAGTGTTCGTCCCACTATTTCGTCGATCAATAAATATGGAAATACTAGACATCTTTGACAAACACCGCTTTAAGTACGGAAGCTTTTGGAGCTCAGACATCCGGAAGTCCGAAAATAGAGTTCATCATGTTTACAAACTTCCGGGGCATTCCTTGGTGGGCAAGCGTGTCGAGAACATACCGGCCAACCGAGTTAAATAAGCCTCGAATATCCAGTGATACTAAAATTATGGGTCGTTTATACTGCGGCGTTGTTCTAGCACCCGATGGGCCATGAAGATTTGTTTAACCGGGTTGGAATTACGATTCCTACTCTGTGACTCATGAACCACCATAGGGCGACGAAATACAAGTGAGGCCAACGGTCTCGTTACGACCGTGGTCAAGTTGATCTCCCAGTGGTTACCGCACCCACTACGAGTCCTTTTTTGAAAGTGGGCGCTACTAACGACTGTCTCCAGTTGTATGGGACGGATTCATTTTTCCAAATACAAGCAAACAGATCAGACAAGTGCTGACTGGGGACTTCACTCCCATCTTTGAACAGCGCGGGTGGGAGGTCATGGCGAACCAGAAGTTCGGCGGCGCCTGAGAGAACATATGCAGTTGTAAACCTGAGGTGGTGGGTGGTTCCACATTCACCATCCAGGGTTCTGTCAACCGTGGGCTCCCGATGGGTGGCAGCTGGTGGCCACGACAATTGTTGCTCGAAGTATTCAGCCGACCGACCGAGGCGTTCTCTTTATTCAAGATGGTCACTCCTTTCCTTGAAGGCTTCGCTTACAGGTGGTTTCCGGGGGCCCGTCGCACGGATCAACTGAAATAATCTTCGGGCATTACCGGCCTACTGAGCCTCCTCTATTTCCTTGGTTGTCTGTCCACCACACTTCGCGGTTGGCTCACACGCTCACTTTCACTTGGCGTCTGATAATTCTACGTACCGGATTATGTTCGAGACCGGCTAAGATATTTCTCCGAGATTCAAGCATTGCCACCGTTTGGTTTGATATCCACTGCTTAAGTGCGTCTGGCGGTACAGTGCACCAGACGAAATTCCAGCACTAGGCAACCCCATGCACTATGCACTGGCAATCTCGTCCCAGTATGAGTTCACATCTGATGGTGAAGCATTCAGAACAGACTTCAGAAGTTCGCCTAACATCCAGATCCGCCAGTCTTTCAGTTGCCGAGCGATTTGACAGTACCTTATGCGACCCTGTAAAACGTAGGGAGAAGCAACACCGGACGAGTGTGTGATCGGAATCCACAGATGTGCTCCAAAACGACAGACAGTCAGTTACTGATCCGCGCCATCGGTAACTCATGGCAGTGTGATCGATTCGAGTTTGTGGCCGGCCTGCTGCTGGAGGACACCGTGTGGCCAGACGACTACGGCTTTTTCGGAAGTTAGTGCTGCATAAAAACAGCCTGTGACCAGCACACAGCTGAAGCGATCGTTCACCATTGTCCGTACGTAATGAGGATAATCCATGTCAACCTCTTAATGGAGTCTCAGATACGCTAGGCCTACCATTCAGGCCTACCATTCAGATCTCCGTCAACCACTACGATATCTGAGCTTTTAGCTCGCCGCAGCTGGGCATTCAGGGCGTCGTAAAACCTGTGTTCGACGGCGTCGAAGCTACGGTCGGTTGGGGCGCAAGCGGACACGACAAACAGACAGCAGTCAGCTTCCCGCTTGCGAGACTCCTTCACAGACGTTGGCAGACGAACCAAACAGAGGCTACTATCAACAGGTATCCAGTTAAGCAAGGAAACCTCCGGCCGGTGACTCAGGATGGTACCAACCAATGCACATCCTACCGTAGCAGCCTCTGGATCACCAGAGGTATGTAACGGGAAGTGAGTGCAGACTGATGGGCTGGTTAGCTTGCATCTTGAATTCTTGTTTCTGAGACACAGCACACATCAATGCCAATGAAATCAATGGGGCTTATAGATTCAGGTATGTTGAGACGTGACAGAAATGCTCAGAACTGCACTGCCAAAATATGCACTTGCATCAATGTCTATTAGCAATCCCTGTTTAACAGCTAGTAGGCTTTTCAGTGAACATCTCGCCTCCTTTTAGGAAAAAAGATAAGGTTCCACTGAGACAGAAACCTTTTGGTATGCAAGTTTTACTTAATCCTAAGGGGAAAAATTGGAATATAATTATCAGTAATCAGTTAAGAGATAACATAACTCAGACCTGATGCAGGCTTTTGGTAAAAAATTATTCCCTTGAGAATGCAGGCGGGCGCCGGGATATTCTTAGGGGCGATGCATTTTTTATTTAAAAAGGTACCGATAAGATGCATAGGTTTGTTTACAACCCGCGAGTGGGGTTACTGTACGTTAAGTAGTCATCAACTTGGTTGAACAAGGGTTTAGTGTGCAATGAATTCCAATTTGTACAGGAACTAAAAGCTTACCTGTTGGAGTAACCGACTGAGAAACCCGTCGTACTGGAGATGTGACGTCTGTGAGGCTACGTAACTTCGAAAGTGATTCTGGTTGCACGGTTATGGGGGGTTTTTCTACAGTGGGGGCTTTGTGAAGTTTAGTTCGATGAGGACCAGCCAACGTAGCGATGACGAAAACCCTGCGCGAACGCTCTGATGCGGCACGGACAAATTCACAGCCGCCTGTCATATGTTCAGAGAATGAGAGTGCGAAATCTTCTGCGATCAATTCTTGCGTTAGCGCCTCAATGCGATCAACCAAACAAAAAGCGGCAGATCGAGGTATTCTACGAAGAAGAAGATCCACCTGAGGAATATAGAGAACGACACCTTGAACCAACTCATCTTCGGCCTGCGATTGTGCCGCATTGTTACGGGCTGCCTGCCTCACCGCAGATAGAATCTGTGCAATTGCAGCCTCTGGGCATACACCAATGCTGGTGGGGAATGCGACCAAATTGGCAGGCGAGAGGGTGAAAACCTATAGGAAACAATAAACGCCGTATCAAGTGTTGTAGGCTATTTAGCAAGTTAACATGAGATGGGAAGTACTGGTGAGCAAGACGACAATGACATAAGAGTGAGGACATACCTGTACAGACTCCAGTCGATGCCATACCGCACTCATTAGACAAGTTGGGACATCACCTGTTAGGAGAAGTCGCGAGTTGGAGAAACTACCAGAAACTTGAAAATTTGTGACGATCGAAGTCCAATCAGAAAGTTCGAGCATTTTACTTCCCGGAGGCGCCAAAGCGTATGATAGCAACTGTGTTAGCTGGTCCAGGGTAGAACTGAACAAGTCAGCCAGAGTCAGCGATAATGGGTAGCGTTTAGTGGATGCCAGAGCGCTAGAAACCGGAGTTAGGTTAAGCGCAGAAGAATCAACGTCTGTGCGATCTTTGGACGGTCTGACGAGTTTTAACGCGCGCAGCCAATCAGGACGCTGTACCTGTAGAGAAAGTAGTAGCAGAAATGCGCAGGCGAAATGTGTTATCCGTAAAGGCACTTTTTTGAGAAAAGTTGTGAAGCTGTTACGACCTGAACCAGCACGCGACGTGAGAACGTGCGCACATTTCGCGAATTCACTAACCGAAAGGTCCGTAGTTAGCACCCGACCTGTCTGTCGACTTCCTCTGTCTAGGCTTGGGCAACCTGGGAGTATCTCAAACTTCATGCTTCCTTCGGGTGGCATGGCAGCTAGGCACCGAAAAGGTGTTACAGCTGAACGATTATTTTATTATTATATTTTGAACGACCTTGGAGAACGACAAACGAGTTAGTAAACACAGAGTACAACTAGCCAGTAGGAGAAAAGCGCCATCCTTTTTGAAAAATGTGCACCATGACATAAATGGCGCGAAAATTCGAAATTCAAACCTGGCAATAATTTAACGGCGCTCAGTATTCGCACAATGGAATAGAATTTTCGAAGGCTTTGACGTGTCCTTGCTGGACTGAATCAATCGGGCAATTGAGTTCTGAGTACCAGTCCAAACTTTTGAGCCCCATTTAGGCATCTCCGGGACTCAGAGATGCTGGCAAACTATTCCATCAGACATTTCCGCCAGAGGTATGATTGCTTCAGTGGACAATGAAATCTGGTGAGCTGCAAAAATTTGAACGTAGATTAGGATGGGTTTTGGTGTGAGCATATAAGCAACAAAATGCAACATTTTGGCGCAAAAACTTTTATTCCACTCTCGAAGGTTTTGCAGCTAAAAGCATAGTGCAGCCAGTGAGCACCTAACTTAACAGTTAAGCGGTTTTGGGGAACACTGATATCTCAAACAGAAGCATAGTAGCAGGCTGATGTAGGCCGACACACAACGGGTTTCGGATGCTCAATATTATGGAAATTCAACACAACAACCGGCCGTAGAGTGATTGTCCAAGTCATCCGCTGAAAGCCAAATATGAACTTCCCCCACCATTCCGGGTGGTAGTTCCTGCTNCCGGGTGGTAGTTCCTGCTGATACCAGAAAAACTGTGCTAGCAATGAGTGACACGAATCCCTCAAACGCCACGCTGTTAAGAGACTAACGAATGACGAACACGTCTGGTGCACAGGGAAGCTCAAGAGGTGAGGAAGCCTTTTGTAGCAGACAACAAACGCACTCTATTTCAGCTGATTCGATCAATCGGTCAGAATATGGGCGAGTGAAACGATGAAACAGCAACTCGTTTGCGGAATCTTCCCAGACGCTACGCTGAGCATTCCACAGACAAAATTAACTGGATCTCCCCAGCAAAGTTCCTGAAAGAACCCACTGGAACAGGAAAGCAGGCTGACATCAGTCGTCCAGCGGCCAAGGAAATCCAGTGAGAAACATAGTCGACACATAACAACAAGTCCGGTCAATATAAAATCGAATCGTCCAGCTGTAACACCCTTTCAATGTCCAGCTGCCATGCCATTCAAAGGAAGCCCGAGGGCTGAGATACTGCCAGGTTGCCTAAATCTAGAAAGTAACAGTCGAGAAACCTGAGTCCGGTTCGAACTACGGACGTTCCGGTCGGTAAGTTGGCGCCTTAATCACTGAGCTATGTGGAGCCAAGATAACATGCATCACGTATCATTCAAATGAGATTGTAAGGTCTTAGTGAACAACCAGACGACCCTCTTACAAACTAGTTGAAGACGAAACAGAATACCGGTGGAACGGCATGCTTCAATAATGGTTCCAAACCTTGGAAGGAGCGTAGCCGTACCATCGAAAACGACATCGCTTAGTATCTTCCACAGGTTAGTCACCTACCAAAGGAGACAAGTTTATGAAAATTGAATCGAGTTTCGCTCTGACCAGAAACACATTGGCCAATTTCTCACTTCGAGGTAGTACATACGTGAAGGGTGTCGCTGTTTCAGAGAGTGGACGCTTTTCTTCTAGATCATTTAAGCTCTATCAACCGCCGGGAAGTGAAGCATTGTTTGGTGATCAAAGGTTTCCGTTCTAAATTTTTATCCCCTGTAAAAAGACTGTCCGCAAGTATTCGTTGACATACACTGAAAGAGCGGACGAAACTGCGCTCCTGGTTTCAAATCCTTCGGAGGTAGAAAGCTATCAGTCCTGAAAATAATCCCAGAATACATGAAACCCACTGAGCCCCTCAAACCTCAGCAAAATCGTAGTTGGAAAGTCATCGAGTATCTGGGCCAGAAAAGTCAGTCGCCGACTGGACGCTCAGGCAGGCAATCAATTCAGCAACGGCCAACGATGACGAGCGTTCAACCAAAGTCAATCGGACAGTATAGATTCAAGGCCAACAGTGCGCTTTAAATAACGCGATTCCCGCTGTAAATTTTACACTCACTTGTTTGCAATAAAGCTGTTGCGTTTCTTGTTGGTGAGTCCCCTTCCGGACACCAAAATATTGGAGCGAACACAGAAGCTATTCGCAACAAAAACATCCTAAATGAAACAGGCAATTCTCCCTCCCTGTTTGGCAGGGGCTTCACACCTGCAAAATGCGGGTGTTCCTACAAGACAGGATGGGATCAGAACAAACCTCACGGCTGAGGACCAACCAATCGAGGTGGGTTCATTTACCTGGGTAAGTGTATAAATACGGGAGTAGCTAAAGACGGGATCAATTCTCGATTCAAGAGAGTTGGAAGATTTCCGCCAACCATCGTCACCCATGGCGTTAGTATGACGAGTTTCACTATCAAGAGTACAGCACACGCTAAAGCAGTGCATCAGAAGCGTGAGTTCTAGTCACAGAAGATATACGAACAGTTTCGTTATCTGATCACGGTGTAGCTGAAGCACTGCCGGAGCATGGTAGAGATACCGGACTGGCAATGTTGAGGTACACCAGATGGCTTCATAGGAAAACAGTTTTAATGCGTTGGACAAGTTAATCGCTTTGGATAGGTTACGTTGGTTGGGACGTGTACTTTGCATGTCAGAACATCCTCTACCTCGGGGAGCTCGTTTTGCCCATCGCGTGCTGAGCTGAAACGATCAGAAGGCAGGCAGACAGCTGTCACCCCTGGGTGGAGATTCTTGGGAACTCGACACATCAAAGGTTAATGATGCTGACAGATACGGCTCAGGCACCTAGTGGGTAGCACTCATGCAACAAAGCTGTCGCCATCTACGCTCACTTTCTCAGCTTCTCACTTCATCAACGATTGCATAATAACAGCTGATTAACTGAAACTAAGCTGAAGGTGAACTCGAAAACTTCCTGTTCATTTCCTCGGAAGGCATCAGTCATTTCCAACAGAACACAATGATGAGTGCAACTTCCTGATAGGAACTTCATCAACGAAGTAGACGATGAAACATACCAGCAGAGTAAACTAAAGGTAGAGCAGCTTTCAGGTTACGAAAAACGTGGGACAAAGAAGACATCGGGGTTAAATTTCTAAGTCAGAAGTGAGCATCGCACTGAGACTGATAAAGCCGCTTCCATTCTTATGTGTAGAGTAAATTGTGCCATCAACGGTCAGTAGTGAAGGTCGGTTCGTAAAACCTCGACCCAAATTTTATCGCCTCAATAGAGTTCGAAAGACGGAACTACTGAAATCGGCCAATTTATTCTGGTATGATATGGCACCATGCACAATAAACCACCGTTTGAAGTAATCTGAATTCAACTCGGAGTAAAAAAGTACTTAGTTTTCGAAAGGCTCGCTTGAACCTACCTTCAAATACTTCTGATCCAGTGCAAGTTTCACCCGACTTTCGTAGACCTGAGGATACTGACGCCGCAAACAACAGAGACAAGCCTCTGTAACTAGGGCTTTTAGATCGGCCCCACTAAAATTACTGGTTATGGCTGCAAGCTGAGACAGCAGCTGAAACAAAAACGATAGAGTTGTCAAGATGAGCTGTAGGGGGTGCTGTTGATAAACAGCAAACAGACAGAAACAGAACTGACTTCAGTCTGCGGCCTCACAGGGGGGACAAAAAGTAAAATTCAGTGAATTGAAAACATTTAAGGAGGGGAGCTCCGTGAATGAATTCGATGGAGTGCATAATAGTATGGAGAATACCAAGAGATGCGCCAAAACTGGTGGATAATGCTGTCTATCAACACTGACAAAACCAAGTATACTTACATGAGAAAGGAAACAAGAATGGGGCATTCGGAGGAATTCAGGGTTCAACTAGAACGTTTACTCAAATGCAGTTAGAAATACATGTGCACGTGACAACTAAAGATACAGGTAGGTTTGACAATCAAGCAAGAGCACCGGTCGAGTGTCATTTTAACTTTAAATGAAGTCATACCGTGTCCAGCGGTCTAGTTGGTTACCGCGTATTAAAGCACACATCTTGTGACGGTCTACTAGCGCAAGCTACTCGGCTGGGGAAAATAACTGTTGAAAATGTGATAGCATGGAACGTGGCCACTGCCACCCTGAAACATCTAATGAAGTGTGCCTCCAAGATAAATGGGGCTGGCGTATTTGCTAATTCAACTGTCAACGATCTGGGTAGCGTCAACTACACTGACACGAAAACAACTGTCCCCGGGACTCTAGAACGCACAGGACTCGGCCTACCTAAATCACAACGATCTCAATTAGCTTATGAGAAAGATAAGAACACTGTACCGTTTACCTCACCGAGCTGATACGATGTACTGAAACGTTGGAGTGGCTCGATGGTTAGCAGGTGACAACCCTCAAAACTGCGCCCACAAAAAAATCTGGAACACGAGTACCACTCTAGTAAACTACTGCGTGGCAAGTCCACCCGTTTAGCACCCGAGAGAATCAAATAAGACAGACGAAGTACCTTGAGTCCCGTTGATAGCTGCCATGAACGAGAAAACAAGATCAACAACGTTCTAGCACGTTGTCAAGCACCGGAAAGTCAAACGTAATCACACTCCCACGATAAGTTTACTCTCCTCGATTTGCAGAAGTTGCTTGCTAGTATCCAGCCGTTTGCAGTTTAGTTCACTGCATCAAAAGAGCCAGTGACCCAAGTGCGAAAAATATCAAGCAATTTACAGCAGGTTTTCGTACGTTGCTTAGTTAGCTCGCGGAGATGTTCAAACAAAAACTAGGAGCGCTGGAGATATAACCAGTCGTTTCGAAAACCCAGAATGAATAAACAGCAAAGCTGTCATAGTGAGCAATGATGATAGAGTTGTCCCCTACTGTTGGAAAACTGCTCCTCCCCCGAAGACGAACTTCGATTATTCCCCTGCAACTTCCCTCAAAAGTGAACACTCCCTCAAAGAATACCACTTTCGGTCGAGCTCTTCAGTATCGTCAGACGAGAGATCCAATATAATGCAAAAAAGACAAAAAAGCATGGCGGAAAGTTCGGAAGAAAATATGAAGAATTTTATGGAATGTTATGACAACCTACTTCTGGGTCGGGAGCTGGCTTCCACTTAGCTGTGTGTACCTCCAAAATGCGTCTTCTAACCGATTCGCATGGCAAACTGAAGGTGAACTCTCGGTCGAAGCGACCAGGTCGTCGGAGGGCTGGATCAATTGCATCTGGTCGGTTGGTAGCCCCTATAATGACTACCTCCGCACGGCTATCTAGTCCATCCATTAAACTTAGCAGAGTAGAAACGATGCTAGAATGAATTTGATCCTGTTGGTATAAGAGCGAAAAGAGTTGAAAACAGTTTAGATAACGACATATGGATGACAATACCGTTAACGGGTAACAAACAGTTTACTGACCTGCTTTGAGGAACGGACTGGGGCCAAACCATCAATCTCGTCAAAAAATATAATAGATGGACGCATGCGATACGCCTGGTCAAATAGAAGTCGAAGTTGGCGCTCTGATTCACCCACCCATTTGGACAGACAATCAGCTCCTTTGCGCATGAAAAACGCAATCGGCCTTCTGAGTTCTTTCGTGCCATCTACAGAGCGTGCGGATGACATTCGCGTACACTCGTTCGCCAGGGCCCGAGCAAGTAATGTTTTTCCTGTACCTTGATATTGGGTGGAGAAGCAAGGAGTTGGGTAATTCAGTTGAAATCGAACGAGTTGGTGAGTTAAAACCACGTTGACGCGGCAAAACAAGATCCAAAGAGAGCGAATTCGGCTTAGGACGGTTAGCTAGTCCGAAACCCACGTGATCTTGGCCGCTGGCCTTGATCTGTTGGCTGGTTGGCCTATTGCTAATTTCGCTACATCCATTCGTAGGAATTCACAATAAGAACATAAAGTCAGAAACATCTGTTTCGATTAATTTTTTGGAGGTCGACGACGTTGGACGATGTGTAGAAATAGCGCAGAACATCATGCGAAGAAAAGAAGTTAATGGGTTCAGAAGATCGGACAGGAAACCGACAAGGTTTGCTTGAACGTGATGAACGCCGAGCAGGCGGTCCAAGGTAAATTTCAAAGACTGATCATGAGGTACCCGCTGCGAAATCCGTGAAGTCACCATGATAAACCAATCAATAAAAGGAACAACTTGTGAGGGAAGAAAAGAACACGAAGACTGAGAATTGAAATATTCCGAAGAGGTGATCGGAATACCTCTATACCTGCTATCTGGAAGCGCTTCAAATGAGTTGGAACCTACCAGGTGGGCCGCAGAAAAGGACTCCGCGAGGAGGATCTATTCCGAACCCGGAAAAAACATCCGGATACATCAGCGGAAGGACAATGCTCTCTTTCAGCGCCAGAATATGCCTATCATGACCTCCTACTTGATCGAAGCCGACCGAATCATCCATTGTCATAGGCTCAATATCTGCCAGATTGGTTCCGCATAAGAGGCGGTCACTGAGTGTTGATTTGATCTGAAGGGATGAGCCGAACAGAAGGAAGAAGTCCGTTAAAATTATCTAGAATGGGGAAAGTACTGGAGCATTCCGTCTGATTACCATCAACACATCAAAATGAGGCCGCTGGGTTAGTTGAAAAAAACCATGACTTACAGTCGGATCTGTAGACCTCAAGTTGATAGGCAAGAGTTCCGACCGGGCATTCATTATACTTTTGGTGCGACGTCTTTCGAAACGTGTCTCATCCTCGTCCACGTCTACCATACTATTTCTTTCAGGGGCCGCACGTCGCCAACTCGAATGAGACGATGGTAGGCGACATTCCATTGGGTCCCGTTCGGGGGTGGAAGTCCCAGAGTCCGAATCCATTGAGGAGGAGGTGCTAGAACCACAATGATGGAGACCCCGATAAAAGCGGGAACTGTAAAGAGAAGAGCGCGTGTTTAGGACTGGTGTAAGATGCACATGTTCATGTATTAGGATGATCACGTAGTTTACACAAACAATAACGGATGGTCTGTGTAAGCTATCCGAACATTGTCAACACAGGTGTGATGCGTATAATTTACACTCCTTCCGGTTTCAGTGTAAATAACAAATCTGAAAGTGATGTTTTAAAAGGTGCGATGTTTTGTGCACAACCGTTTTCCAGATAACTCTTGCTAGTATCTGGTGTATACCGACATAATCAAAATAACAAACTGATTGGAAAAGCATCTGCTCACATAGCAAGACGTTCAATTTAACACTGCATCCAGCTGGATGATGAGCTGTGTGTATCGATTCAACCAACTTCAATAAACAAGGAACAGGTGATAGATGATGCAGGCGAACCACAGAAAGAAAATAACCAAAACACATTAGGTTATCTTTCTTGGAATGAGTCTGTACGCTTTTTTTGGGAATCGCCGGCGCTCGACAATCAGGACCCTTAACATCCTTAGCATCGGTTCCTATGCAGATTCCCTCATTGGATGTTTGGAAAAGCAGACAAATTAAAGTATTTAAAATCTGTTAGCGATAGGTTCTTCTCCATTTCTGTACACTTTTCAATCAGATCTCCCATAACTGTAGACAGTGAAGTACCGGTGACAAAACTGGTCCACGTGAGTGATGATGAGATAAATAAGGTAGATGAAGGCATACCTTGTTCGGTGCCGGCGCCCACGATTACTGTGTTCATAACCAGTTCCTGCGAGCCAGTTTCGAGCGGGTCCATGAGTACTTTGGGGATATTCCACTAGAAAGTAAAAGCGTGATGTGGGTAAGTTCACTAAATATTTCGTAGTAACCAGACCAACGCGCTACCACTCATGAAATAAGGCTTCTGTGCCACCTGAGTAGAAGCCTCCAGGTGAAATTTAGGCGGCAAAATAGCCAGCATACTTGGGGCGGGGAGTAGATCTATTAGGTAACAATACTGGTAGGCGTGTTTTCTCAAAAAAAGTTCTCATTGATGTGACTGACATGTTTATTCACTACGAAAACTATTGCTCCTTCTGGCATCTCGCGTCAAGCATATACTGCCTGATTCTGAATCACCGGCAGCGGTAAATCAGTACAAACCCCAATTCAACCAGTGCGTTACAATTCCTTGCTCCGACCACTGGTAAACACCAGACTCTTCAATTTTATACAGTCAAACGGAATGGCCGCTCTGGTAGATTGGACAATACAGTTCCGAACCAACTGAACGCTAGGTCAACAATAAGGTGAAATTTTTCTTCGAACCTCGATTATGGCGCCTCATCTTCGTTTTCTGTACAGACACGCGTAAATTCTGAATGGATCAATTTCTGCCAAAGGGAATCCCCAAACAATCAAAATTCTATAGCCATTGAGGAAAATTGGTATCCTATTTGTCTTCATATACAACTTAACAGGTAAGTGACGTAGCCCGTAAAGTTGAGAGTCCCCAGTTACTCTCAATACGTTCGGTAAAATGCCGTGGCAAGTAGAGTACTGATGAGGAAAAGGGAGAACAGGTGTAAATTTGAAACAAAAAACTGTGTCAGTGCGGGTGCACCAGGCCGTTCTCAAAGTTCCCTGTTTCCAAAACAGGGCAGCCATGACCCCCATAGCGCTTCTGCAATGGGTGAGACAGTTTGTTACAGTGGTGCATAAGCATGTAAAGACCAGGGTGGCCAGATTAGGCGTACAACGAGTTTGAACAAGACGCCTATGGATATTTGAAGGTCACTCACCTTGATACATGGCAGTATGACGCCGGTTTCGCACAGGATATCGTCTAGTATCGCTTTCAGGTCCCCGACCACCCTGATCGCCATTCATACCAGCATCATCCGAATGGTCCTCTGCAGACGCGCTTCGTGGCTCCTTTGTTGCCTCTTGGTCGGAAGTCGCGGAGCGGTTGTCTAATCTGGGATATTTTCTAGGTCTTCCTCTTTTTCGGCGCATCGTTTCATTGGAGGACTGTAGGAGATTAGATCTGTCACGATGCAGCCCAACGTTCAGGTTGAAGTTCTGTACCGGTACCCGTGGACGGAGTCGTCGTAGTCTTTGTGCCCCGGGCTGGTCCAGTTCGCTCTCAGAAGTAGAGGCGGGATGTGGACCTGACAGCGAGTTATCTGAAACATGAGCCATCGCCATGCTGGTTGTATTGTGATCTGCATCCGAACTCCCTCTGGGTGAATTTGCTTTGAAGTGCACTGTGAAGAGATCGCAAAAACGAATTTTGAAGCAGCTATCCATAAATAATCTAACCCAAATGGGGCTCATCGTCTATCTACGGTACCCTTTTGACACCTAACTGCCATGCAACACGAAGGAAGCATGAGAGTTGAGATACTGTCAGGTCGCTCCAGGCCAGATATGGACAATCGAAATGGCAGGGTAAGGTTTGAACCAAGGGCTTTCTAGTCAGTGATCCCGCCGTTTTGTCTCGAGTGCAACAGAAAATGAAATGAAAGGGTGTTCACTTTCATTTTATTTTCATGTCTGACTGATACACTATCATGAAGACCGTATATGGGGCGACGTTACCTCACATACGATCACGAGGAAATCCAGTTAGTTCCGTTGGAATGACGACTACATAATTATTCGTAGCGTCTAGCGTAATAAACCAGATTTTCAAAAGCCGTTTCGAGAAAATCTTGAGAAAAATTCATTAGTGCAAACAATGCCATAGAAAACAGCCAAAGAAAGCTACGATCAGCAAAGTCATGTCAAGCAACTGGCATCAAAATGGAACTTTATTCCCCTCACAGAACACAGGCTAGGTTGCCGGACTATAGAGCTGCGCATGTGCATTACCCACAGATCTGATTACCTAATAAGTCAATACAATCGAGGCAAGTGCTAAGAGTTGCCCCATTGTTCCATCATTAGTAAAGTTGAACGCGAATGGAGAGAGTTGACATCCTTACCTGACACCGCTTTTTGTAGGGAAGGTTGTACAGAGCTCATCATGCACCCCCATACGCTCTATAAGCATGTAAATATAGAGACAGGATTATGTCCAAACATCATGGGAATACCCTGTTGAACAATCGTGGTTAGGGCACTGACCGACTGATAGAGCCAAACGCACCCTTGAAGTCAAGGCACGCCAAGGTGGTGGGTCGCATATGGCGTTGTCCGAATATCTCTATCCGATCGAAATCCCGTGTGGTGCTAACAGGTCAAAGTTTTGCGTGCCGCCGAAATGCGACAAAGGATCAGTGACGCCAGGCGTATTTCTACAACTGGGATCAAACTGAAGCCTCCGCGGTCACTACACTCATTGTGGATATCACTTTTGAAGGAAGTTATTGTTATCAACTTGCCACACTTAGCCGGGGCGGTCTCTTCCTTCCAAGTAGGCACAAACAGAACAGATGGAAGAGCGTCAGGATCAGGAGCAGGATGACTCTTGACCCTTGGCAATTCTGAGACTGGATGCTCCAGATTCACAGCCGATGTTTCTGATAAAGGTCGACGGTCAGGATTGGAGGTAGGTGTCCAACTGAATTGTTAGAAGTGTTGTGCCCAACGGGCCAAACATTCTTCTTCATATAGCCACCTTGGTCCTTGATGCTTCACTGACAAGATGCTCCCGAAGACCAGTCGAACGAATCAAGTGGACTGATCTGCGGACCTTTCCAGCACTTTTCGCATCTTCAGCTTTTCGGATCTACCAAGCATCCCGGCCTTCAGGAGCAGTTTCACCTGGCGTCGGATGTGCGCGTTTTGCCCATACTTGAAAAGCATAATGGATAACAGCAACGGACAAGCAAATAGTTGGAAACCACTAACGTATTCCAGGAGTGACAGGCAGTAATTAACCATCACCACCGATAACTGATGACAAATTGGCCCATTTTGGATTCGAGGCAGATTCGCTGGTGAGCACAGCGTAGCCAAATGATCTCCGCCGCCCCGGAAATCGGTACAGCGAAGCAAACAAACTGTGATCGGCACACATCTGCAGCAAGCATCCTACGTTGTCTGTGTGTTTCATGTCCAACCCAGGATGACCAACCTAACCTGACCTCAGTAGCGCTAAACTTATCTACCTGAAGGTTCAGGTTATCATCAACCATCTGTAAGCTTTTGACCCATTGTAAAAGAATAGCCACAGCACCATAGAAACCGCCATTGGTAGATTCAGTGTTAAAACCCCTCGGGACGTAGACAGGCACGATAAACAGGAAGGGATAGACTTCACCTTCTCGAGATTATTTCAGACTTGCCAAGCAAACCACGCAGAAGCGACCATCAGCGGGCACCCAGTGGAGTAGAAACGTTTCCGTTCGAGGGCTCAACACAAGATATATCCCGGAATATCCACCGGGCTTCGCATGACCAGAAGAGCGCACCCGGGAGCGGGAAGAGAACGAAGCAGTCAGTACAATTAGTGCTTGTGTCCTGGATCTTTGTTATTGATAGACTGGTTCACTAAAACACTTAGACCTCGAGAGGGATATGCAATCATTGATGCACACCACCACCGGGCCCTACCTAAAAGAAGGGTGACCGCATCAATCGTAAAAAACACCTTGGTACCCGACTCGCCAACGTTAAATCTATATTTTTAACGTCGACTGCAAGTCATCAAAAAAAACCCAGAGGGCGAACTCTTCAACTGTGAAGAACAGGTGGTGTTTCGCTCAGGTAGATACTGCACTAAGCATAATTTCACCTAACGACCGTCACTGAAGCAGTATAACGCAAACGGAACATCGACTCTCCTGGTTTTTGGTAACACCAGAAGCGCCTTTCACACCGCTAACAGAGTTACCTTATTAAACTTTCCATCACCATCATTGTCAGCTGTAATAACCGCGTACTCATCGTACTGTGGTTGTAGCTACCGCAGTTTCATTCACCGATGGTTTGGGGGGAGGGGGAGGTAGCTGCGCGTTGCAGGCGGGAGCTGATAAATTGGTGCATAAATCCAGCACTGTCAGTGGGCTGTCAAGTGGTGAGGGGGTTGAAAAAGGAGTTATGGATTGAAGGAAATAGCTTGGATGCACAAGCACCATTGAGGGCGCGACTGGGCCATATCTGACAATGTCTCTAGCCATTGATGTGGCCCGTCTTGGGGTCCCCATCCAGGAAGACGGCAATGACCAGCGCAGCTAAGTTTGCTGGTAATGGTTTTCATACTTCGCTGCCAAGTCATTGGTTGACCGCCTCTGACTCTCTTCCACCCTTCACGTGGTTGTGCGAAAAGAGCCCTTCGAGGAAGTCGGTCGACTGGCATACGCAACACGTGGCCAAGCCAGTGCAACCTATGAAGCGTGATCAGTTCATCTATCGAGAGTGAGTTATTTCTCCCAAATACCATTCGACGTACTTCAGAATTGCTGATCTGGTGTTTCCACCAGATTCGGGCTATGCTCCGAAGACATCGATGGTCAAACACTGAAAGTCTTTTGACGTCCTCGGCGCGCAGCGGCCAGGTTTCTGATCCATATAGTAATATAGAGCGCACCGCAGCATTGTAAACTCGACCCTTGACAGAGAAGCTGATATCACGCCTACGCCACAGGTGACGTAAAACGAGATTCTGCTGTAGCTTGATCCTGTCTGGAAGGCGCTGTATGCGCATTCGTTCGACAAGGTTGAGAATTCTCATATTGTTCCTATATTGTACCATCACAGGTAGGGTAGGCCAAGGCGTCCAAATATTCCGATTTGTATTCACTTTTATTACAGATGATACCTCCAAAATCTGACAACTTCACCTATGGCTGTGGTGGACTACTTCCCGGAGAACCGTTTGGAGACGTAAAATGCGAAGACAATGTGGTGCTTGTCTTTTAATGTAAAAGTAGGGCATAGGATGAGCTCTCTGGGCTGACAATTCCCATCTATCGTTTTGGATTGAGCAACCCACGGTTGGCCAACCCACGTACGTCAGACCGGCGGCCTTGGTTACAGAAAATTTTCAGATCATCCTAAACATAGCTGATGGATACCGTGAAAACTGGTATCTTCACATATCTCAGTGGAATGTATGTAGGCAAGTTGCTAGTGTTTATGATACTAAAGACAGATTATTATTATTATTATTATTATTATTATTATCAAAGACAGCAACATTAGTGCTGACACTGATGCTTCCCTGCCGTATCAATATCATCAGAAACACTGACGTACGTAGCCTCTGGTGGCAATTTACGTTCCCATAGTTTATGTCCTGTCTATGGATAATCCGTGCAAAACAAGCTAAGGTAATGCGTTCCGATGGATTTGGATCAAAATAACACTCGGAAAGTGGATTGCAACCATAACCGAGGGCCAGTTTCCCAAGGTCAGCGCATTCCTCATGGCAAACCCCACACCGATTCTCACAAGCCACTACCTTGCCACGATAAAGCCAACGAGCAAATTGGTGGTTAGGCCACCAGTGGGACATTACGACCATTTTTAAGCTCTTGTGTCCTCTGAAAAATGGATTTCTAGTAAAGCTGTTCAACTCGGTGGGTTAGCTACTTTCACTGCAAAAGGAACCAAGCGGAGGTATGAGATTGATCATCAAAACTTCACCTATTTTATTGAAAAGTGCAGGTTGTATGCCATCCGAATCCGCTGAGCTTTTTTACATTCTTTAGAAGGAATTGCACGTCGTACTTCGGCTCCCAGCGGAATCCTGGTATCCCCATTCCATTAAGGTAAACAGTATGCGTCATACGCGGCCAGTTGAATCATTCTTCGAAGTGTTTAACCGACCTTCCAGAAGGACGTGAATTGTTCCATTAGAGTTCTGTGCAAACGTTGTACTAACCTACTCTGCATGCGACTATTGTAACCTGAGAGGTGATGCACTGATCGAGCACGAGCGATGGCCTGGGTAGTGTCAGGTTGTGCAAATCAAGGCGGGTGACAGTCTTTAAAAGAAGACTATCAAACAGAACATGATTCATGTGTCCAGGGGTTTTCATTTCAGGGCACCAGGATACTCAGTACGGGCATTTGTAGGGGAAACGGACAATAGTCGGCGCATACCTGAGGAAGATAGTCTCCGTTGTCTTGGTAGTCAGTAATGATACCAGGCTCAGCTGGTCCACCAAAACATTACTTCTGTGTTCATAATAAACGGAACAGTTCGTCCCAATGATCAACCTCTTGAAAACTTGATTACATTGTAGGGGTGCATCAAAACGGTCGCAGCATGTGACAAGAATAAGAATATGGAACGGAAATTACGATATTGCCCCAA